CTTAACTAGCCCCACCATACCACCAGACTCCACCCCCAAGCCTCAGGCCCCACCCCCAGCTTGACCACGACCCCATGGCCCAAGCCCTGCCCCTGGGCCCCAGTCCCAAAGCTGTCCTTTTCCCCAGCCCTAGCCCCACCCCCAAGGCTCACATCCTGCCCCTGAAGCCCCACCCACCAGTTGTAGGCCAGCTGGAGCTGGAGGCGGGCGTGGTCGGCCGTCTCGATGGTGACGATGTCAGTGCAGAAGTCAGGGCCGAGGCGGAGGCAGAGGCTGCGGCGGGGGGGGGGGGGGCGGGGGGCGGGCCCCCCGGGGAAAAAAAAACTCCCCAGGGCCCAGCACCACCAGCTCGGGGCCCAGCACCACCCTGCAACAGGGCAAGAGCACGTCAAGGGCACGGGAGACACGCCAGGGGCACCGCCCTGCACAGGAGGGACCCACAGCACATCAAGGACAAGCCACCACATGCTGGTCCCAGCACCGTCACCTGGGAGTGGCTCTGGCAGGGCACAGAGCCACCCTGCCAGACCAAGGACACGCAGTGACACGTGAGTGCCCAACACCACCTTGTGATGTACAAAGGACACGGGTCATGTGCCAACGACAAAGGTCACAAGACAAGGACACACCAAGGAGAGAACGGAGAACACAGGATGACAGGATCACAGCATGGCTGCGATGTGGAGGGACCCTTGAAGACCATCTTGTCCAACCCCCCACTGTTCAAGCAGGTTCACCTACAGCTGGTTGCCCATGACCATGTCTAGTTGGGTTTGACTATCTACATAGATTGAGACTCCTCAACTTTCTGGGCAACCTGTGCCAGTGCTCGGTCAGTGAGAAACTGTTTCCTGATGTTCAGAGGGAACCTCCTGCGTTCCAGTTTGTGCCCATGGCCTCTAGTCCTGGGACTGGGCACCACTGAGAAGAGCCTGGCTCCATCCTCTCTGCACCCTCCCTTTAGGTACTTATATACATTGATGAGATCCCTCTGAGCCTTCTCTGCTCCAGACTAAACAGTCCCAGCTCTCTCAGTCTTTCCTCATAGGAGAGATGCTCCAGTCCCTTCATCATCTTTGCAGGTGTTTGTTGGACTCAATCCAGTATGTCCATGTCTCTTTTGTACTAGGAAGCCCAGCACTGGACACAGGTTGCTCCTCCACAGGTGCAGGATTTGCACTTCCCCTTGTTGATGTTCAAGAGGTTTCTGTCAGACCATTTCTCCAGCCTGTTGAGGTCCCCTGGGATGGCAGCATGACCCTCTGGCACCGCCCTGCACCAGAGGGGCCCAGAGCACACCAAGGACAAGCCACCACATGCTGGTCCCAGCACAGTTACCTGGGAGTGGCTCTGGCAGGGCACAGAGCCACCCTGCCAGACCAAGGACACACAGTGACACGTGGGCCACTCCTCCCAGTCTGATGTCCTCTGCAAACTTGCTGAGAGTGCACTCTGCCCCATCGTCCAGATCACTAATGAAGATGTTAAACAGCACTGGACTCAGTACTGATCCCTGGGGTACATCACTAGTTATTGTCCTCCAACTACACTTTTTACTACTAATCACCACGCTCTGGGGCCTGGCCATTCAGACAGTTTTCAGTCCACCTCACTGCTCATCCAGCCCAGACTTCATCAGCTTCTCTATAAGGATCCTGTGGGGTAGTGTTGAAGGCCTTCCTGAAGTCCAGGTAGACAATAGCCACTGCTCTCCTCTCATCTACAAACCCAGTCATTTAATCAAAGACATTTATCAGGTTGGTCAAGCATGAATTCCCCTTGGTGAATTCACCAAGGAGAATTCATGCTGACTACTCCTGATGATCTTCTTGTCATTCACCTTCCTGGAAATGGTTTCCAGGATGAGCTGCTCCACCACCTTCACAGGGATCAAGGTGAAGCTGAGGGGCCTGTAGTTCCCTGGGTCCTGCTTTTTGCCCTTCTCAAGATGAGGTTGACCTTTCTAGTCTTTGGACACTTCTCCCGGTCACCATGATTGATCAAAGATTATCAAGAGTGGCCTCTCAATGACATCAGCCAGCTCCTTCAGCACTTTTAGTTACATCCCATTAGGGCTCATGGACCTATAAATTTGCTTAAGTATTCTTTAACCTGAACACCTTCTACCAAGGGTGTGTATTCCTTGCTCCAGACTTTCACTCTGGTCTCTGGAGCCCAGGGTCCCTGAGTGTGACTCGAACAGACTGAAGCCAAGGATATGCTGTGACACAAGTCCCTGCACTGCCACTTGCTCCCCAGGGCCCTACATGACCAACTCTATACCCAGCACCACTCTGTGATGTGCCAAAAGCATGTTAAGGGCATGGGTCACAGGCCAAGGACCCACCAGTCCCCACACCATCACCTGCTCCCCAAAGCCCAGCACCACCAGCACTGGGCCCAGCATCAGCCGGCCACAGACATGCGAAGGACACTGGTCACACACCAAGGACACACCAAGGAACACGCCATGGCACAGGGGTCACAGCAACATCACCTGCATGCTAATGCCCAGCAGCCCCTCCCCATCCCCTCCATATTTTCCCTCCATGCGCCCCCCACATCCACTCTGTCCTCCATTCCACCCATGCCCAGAACCACGG